AATGCCTCAAACCACTCCCAGATTTGCTCCTCGACCGTGCAGTCCATGGAGGTGCTCTCGAAGCACACCTCCATCGCTTCGTCTGGCGCTGCCGGCTTCCGCCCCGGCTGCATCGTCATCTGCAGGTACTCCATGGCTGGCTTCGGCGGTCGCTCGCGCCGGAGGCGGGCCCACATTCGGGCCGAGGTCGCTGCCATGCCGCCGTCGGTGCCGTTCGCCGGGAATGGCCGAACAGGTGGGGACGGCATCCGGGCCCGGTCCCGCGCCAGGCCTCTGGCCTCCGACCCCTCAGCATCGCGGCGGGGTGGCGCCTCAGCATGGCGGCGCCGCGCCCCGGGCGCGCTCCTCTCCTCCTGCTGGGGCTCCATGCCCCGCGGCTGCCTCCTCTGCTGCTGCCGCCGCCTCCTGGAAGACGTTGCTGCTCCACTCCGGCAGCCCGCGCCTCTCCTCCAGTTTCTGCTTATAGCGGTCAGCCCCTTCCTGGTCGCCGAGCCTGTTGAGCATGCTGACGAGGTTTTCCAGCTCCGCGATGGAGGGCAGTTGTACCCCCTGGGTAGTGGCTGCTGCGGCTGCGGCGCTGCCCGAGGCGCCTGTGGCGGCGGCGCTGCTGGCTTCAGAGCTGGCCGCCGCGGCGCTGGCCGCGGGCGTCTCTGGCGGCGGTTGGCGCCCCAGCGCCGCCACTGCCTCTCCTTCCGCGGTCCCAGCCGCGGGGGGCGCCTGGCCGGGCGGCGCCAGCCGACGGAGGTGCGTGGTCTGGCCCTCCGGTTTGATGTACTTCGTTCCTCCCTCAGTTACGCGCACCCGCATCGTCCCCATTGCCACCTCGTGGGCCTCAGCGGTGCCCTCCTTTACCATGGTCACCCTCTCGTATACCTTCGAGATCACGCCGTCCTTCCACTTCTGTCCGGAGCGGCTCCATATCTCGCAGGCGTCTCCCTTCCGCCACTCCGGTTCTGCCGGGAGGTCCGGTTCTGCGGTTCCGCCCTTCCGCCACTCCGGTTCTGCGGTTCCGCCACTCCCTTCCTCCTCCTCCTCCTCCTCCTCATCCTCCTCCTCCTCCTCCTCCTCCTCCTCCTCATCACCACCATCACCATCACCATCACCATCGCCATCACCATCATCATCATCATCATCATCATCATCATCATCATCATCATCATCATCAGCATCATCATTATCATCATCATCATCATCATCATCATCATCACCACCACCACCATCACCATCACCATCATCGCCATCATCTTCAGCATCAACATGATCATCACCATCACCACCATCATCATCATCATCAGCAGCAACCTAATCATCATTATCATCATGGTCATCACCACCACCATCATCATCAACAACAACATCATCATCACCACTTCACCATCACCATCATCATCATCATCATCATCATCATCATCATCATCATCATCCTCATCATCCTCATCCTCATCCTCATCCTCATCCTCATCCTCATCCTCATCCTCATCCTCATCCTCATCCTCATCCTCATCCTCATCCTCATCATCATCATCATCATCATCATCATCATCATCATCATCATCATCATCATCATCATGATCCGCTGCTCCTCCACTTCCTCGTCCCGCTTGCTCCTCCTGCGCCTCCGCCAGGTCCCCGCTCCTCGAGGGAGGGGGCCGCGAGCTGCCCTCTCCCCCCGCCCGCGCCCTCCCCCACCGACCCGAGCGCCGCGCTCGTGCCCGCGAACGCCCCCCCGCCAGGGGGAGGGGAGAGGGACGGGGGAAGAGGGAGAGGGACGGGGGAAGGGGGAGAGGGACGGGGGAAGGGGGAGGGGGGAGAGGGACGGGGGAGGGGGAGAGGGGGAAGGGGAACGGCAGCAGCGGCAGCAGCAGAGGGACGGGGGAAGGGGGAGAGGGATCGGGCGGGTGCTGCTGGGGGGTGGTCCAGATGGGGGGTGAAGAAAAGGGCCCTAAAGGAACCCTGCAGGGCTCCTTTCGGAGCCAGCTGGTGCCCAAAGGGGCCTTAAAAGGTATCTCTGGGGCCTTTTCCTTCAACCCGTCATCTGGGTCACCCCCATCACCACCCGCCCGAAGGGCCTGAGGTGGAGGAGGGACCTCCGACGACATGATTGTTCGGTCCGGGGCGAGGCTCCTCCCTCTCGTCCTCCAGGGCCTGTGATGGGGCCCCGGGGCCATCGGATGCGGCTCCGGGACGAGGTGCTCCCATCGGGGAGCTGCGGCGGATGGAGCAAACAGCAACTCGTCATGTGTATGGGGAGGACGTGTGTCCTCTTGACACCGCGGACTCCTTTCTTCAGGGCTGGGTCAGTCAGTCAGGAGAGGGGAATGGGAAGAGGACGAGGAGGGGGACGGGAGGAAGGAAGGCGGAGGAGCAAAAGGAGCATATCATTGTCCGTGCTGGTGCGCTGGAAAACACCGCAGGCCGAAAACGACGAACAACTCAAACTATATCTGTCCGACCCTTACCGTTAGACTTCGATCATCCTTTTTTCTAGTGGTCCCCCACGAAAGCAGCGTACAAGTCGCGGACTCTGATCTGTGCGAGCACGCCCGACGCAACAACACATATTATCTGATGCCAAGTGCGCAAGGAATCGCAACAATCATGGAGTGGAACCGTGGGGCCGTCAGAAACCTCACAGAAAACATTGGACAACTGAGCTGGATCAACGCGTGGGCGGGGATGTCCCCGATCAAACCATTCCGCTTGTGCTCGGTGCGTGCAGAATTGCCATAGCAACTGGACGGAAAAAACGCGGGCACGTCAAGAACTCAGCTTCCCCGATACGCAACACGCAACACGTAGCGTGTTGACACGGAGCTCAACACGTAGACTGAAACACAAGTCTGATGCGATGCGTTCGCCAAAACGTGGGCTTATACGTTGATCCAACACGCAACGTATCGACACGGGCGTTGCGAGAACGGCACGTGCTGCGTATCAAAACGAGCGCATCGAGGCAGCTAAGCTCAAGAAACCTACTCTGGAAACCGCCCTCTTTGGAGGAAGTTCCAAGCGAACACTGCATGTCTGGCCATACCCTGCCCGGGCCGCTAATCTTCCACTGCGCCCGACATCGGCGCCTGAGGCCGTCTGCGCACACCTCGCGTCGAAGATTCTCAACGCCCGAGGGCCCCCTGAATGGCCCATCCTACTCCTCCTCCTCTTCCTCCTCCTCCTCCTCCTCCTCCTCCCCCTCCTCCTCCTCCTCCTCCTCCCCCATCGGTCCTCCTCCTCCTCCTCCTCCTCCTCCCCCTCGTCCTCCTCCTCCTCCCCCTCCTCTTCCTGCTCGCCTCCAGGGTGCCCCGCGGCCGCCCTCCTCTCTTCCTGGCGGTCTTGTGCGCCCTCTGCCCCGGCGCGGCCCGCCAGCTGCCCGAGCGCTCTGGCGGCCGCCCTCGCTGCTGAACGCCAGGTTTTGCCGTACGTACCCTGGGGCCGAATGATCTTGCTGCGTGGAACGTGGGGAACCCACCGCCCCCGCTCAGGAGCCCTCGGCTCCCCGCCCGCCATGCCCACGTGTAGTCTTAGAATGTCATGGGTGCGGCTCGCCCACATCGCCTCGCCATCGTCGTCAACCACCGCGAACCGCTGACTGCCACCATCTCCGCCGCCACCGTCATCGCCGCCAGCCACCTCGTCACTCGAGATCGCCAGCATCGTCAGCGCCGCTCCCAGTGCTGTCGCCCTCGTCACCCTCGCCTTCCATCTCCCCATCGCCATGCCGTCGAGCATGCTCGAGTCAGGACCGTGCTCGCTCGGGCCAACACGGCAAGGGCCGCCCACCTTCCGATACATTCGCGTATCTGGCGGAGGGCCCAACGAACAGCAAAAGCAGAAGACTTCTACTGTCTGAAGAGGGGAGGGGTGCGGCACGACGGTTTGGGGGGGGGGAGCAGGCGTGCCGACGTGTGCCGAACAAGGCAGACGGGTAGCAATTATGAGAAAGGTCACAAAGAGCAAGTGTAAAATGAGGTGGCAAATCCTGGGAGCAAATTCATGGGCACGACTACCTATGTGAAAGAACATGAGCCCTTTCGACGAAGGCCTAAGCCCCATGGATGTACGATGTACCATATTCGAAGATCATGCCAAGTAGGAAAACACACACGCGAGGAACATAAGGGTACCCGTTTCAAAACAGGGTTGTCATTGAACCTCGTGCCAACGATGAGAACGACCAATCCGCATTGCTGACGTATCAAACCGGGTTGGATAATATGTGACCCCAGATGAAGCCAAACCAAACCAGACAGATTGGGCCATGCTGAGGCAGACCAGGCCAAATCCACACCGAGAAGACTGGGTCAGATCGATGATCGAGCTGGGCTGGCACCAGTGATGTATCGGCGGTGGACAAACCTTCTTTTAGTAAACTTCCCCTTCGTGAAAACGGCCTGGGACCGAAACCGACGGACCTGGACCCGCACAAATGACGGCCGCGACGCCCTCTCGCGAACCGAAAACGGCCAATTCCTTAATCGACGCGTCAGGGTAGGAGGTCTGTCCACCCCCGAATGTAGCATGGCTGATGCACGGTGCACCTCCCCAAGAGCTCTCAGATTACGCAGCAGTTGGCATGTTGGAGCAGGGCCCCCGGAGGAATCGGGTCCTGGACCCTGGGCGCTCCCCGGGACAAGCTCCTCACCCCAAACTCCTGACGCCTTTCTTCTCAGCCCTGGCCCCGCGGGAAACACATGCAGCAATCGTGATACATCATAGGCGGGAGCCCGCGGCCCCATCCCCCTCCGGCAGTTCTCGAACTAGGTGGATCCGCGAGGGTCCCGAGGCCCGTCACTGGGCGAACAGAAACGCTCGCTGTGAAAAATCTCGAGGCTTTCTCTGGCGGCGCCCACGGGGTGCTGGCGCGAGAGGAGAGCGGCCTTCTCAGAAGGCGGGGGGGGGCTCCTACGAAGGCAGGCGGCTCCTTGGAAGCCCTCCCGGCTTCTGGGAATGCCTTCTTGGAAGCTGCCTTCTGAGAAGGCCCTCCCTTCGCGCGCCCCCCCCGTTGGCAGGCGCCTCCACTGCCTCCCCGGCGAGGCAGGGAGGGCGGAGCGGGGACACGGAAGCAGCGCGGCGCCGGCCGACCTCCGTGTTTTTTGCGGGGCAGGCGGGTGCCACCTCGTCCTGCAGCGCGCGGCAGGAGCTCTGCGGCGATGGAGTGCGCCCACGCGCACGTAATCGGACCCTGATGGTCCGCGACCGAAAATTTCCGGTAGCGCTCTGCTGAGATCGGTCGCTACCGAAATACCGAAATGTAGCGCCCAATACCGGTATCAGAGCGTTCTGAAATCCGCTATTTCAACGCCCTCAAACGAAGATCCGGTCGCTACCGAAATTCGGGGCGCGTCGAAATCGCTACCGAAAACTTCCGGTACCAGACCATCTGGGAGGGGCAGGGCCGGGCAGGGTCCGCATGTGGCCCCCTCATCAAGAGGGGGAACCGCTCGCGGGGCAGCGAGGCAGGCCGCAGACCGCAGACCTCGCACGGCGCGGCTCTTCAGCCACGGGTGCTCGGCAGGCGGCCGGCCACCGGTGGGGCGCCTGCGCTGCTGGTGGTCTCCAGGTGGGATCCGATCCGCCGCGCCGCGTCGAGGACATCGGGCTTCACGCCGAGCCGCATCGCCGATGCATCGGCGATGCGGTGCGATCCTCCTCCCACAAATAGATACACACAAATCACAGGATTCCGCATATTTTCCAATATTTAGGGGGGTGTTCGTCTTCCCCCACTTCCCATATTTTCTTATATTTTCGGAGAAATCGACGATTCATTGTGTCTGTGTGTTTCTTTCCCTCCTGAATCTGGAGGGCCTGGAGGTCCTCAGCTCCCCTGGGGGAGCCCGTCGTGTCGAAGCCGCCAGGTTCTTCCGAGGAGATCTTCGAGAGGATCTTCGAAAGGTGCGCCGACGAGGCTGGCCAGGCGGGTGCACCAGAAGCAGAAGATGGGACAGGAAGACCTCGAACGGGCGATGAATCGCCGACAGATCGGCGACAGGCCCCCGCTAGCGAATCCGCGCGGTCCTGGGCGGGGTAGGCTATCGGGCCTCCTTTGTGACAAGGGCCCATATTTCCACGATTAGGTTTAGCGTGATCCGGCTCCGCTCTGTACACTGAGCGGCGCGGGATCCACGGCGAGTGGTGCCTGCCGAGGCAGATGCAGGCGAGGTCTTTGCGACCATGCAGCCAGGAGCCACCGCGACGGGGAGCAGCGGAGGCTCGACGGCTGCCAGTTCACAGGGGGCTCACTCTGAGCCCACGGGCGCTACAGGAGGCGGTGGCGAGCATTGCTCAGAGCACGATGAGGGCCACGGTGCCCGACCCCGTGCGGGAGACAATGCGGGGAGTCTCCGTGGCGCAGGGCGCCCGTCCAGAGCCTCGAGACGGTCAGGAGTTCGACCCCCGGGGTGCAGGACTTAGCAAAGCCTCTGGCGCAGACGCCGACCAGCCCAAGGCCGAGGAGACGGCGGCAACACGAGATGAGGACGGCTGGCGGAAGCAAGGCGCCGGAGGAGAATGGGAGAAGCAGCGCTGGTGGCGCCCAGGCTCGGGGGAGACCGGCAACGACGACGGCTGGCGGTCCTTCGGCTGGGCCTCCGGCGGCTGGAGCAGTAGCGCCGTCTGGGCGCCACGCGGGGACTACTCCGACCCTCCCGCGTGGCCCGGCTGGGGCCACTATCGACAGTGGAAGCGCGCCCTCAGGAGGTGGGACGCCACCACAGACGTCCCAGTGTGGCGCCGGAGTGAGAAGTTCATGAAGTTGTTCGATTGGAATATGCAGGCCAGATTCGAGGATATCACGGACTACGAGCTCACGAAGGTCACGTGGCTGGACACGCTGATCGATCGAATGGACTTGATGATCGGAGAGCGTGAAAGCGATGAGCTCCGTAGGTCTGGGCGGAGAGCTCTGTATGAGGCGACTCGGGAGAACAAAGAGACTCTCACCCAGTACGTGAGTCGACGGGAGGCCCAGTTCACAGAAGCGGAGGGGCACGACCATTAGTCCGACAAACTGAAAGGTCTGTTCCTCGAGGAGGGTGCCAACCTCTCGTCCCAGGGCACCCAGAATTTGAGGACCTTGACCTCGGGAAGCCTAGAGTTCAAGAATATTGCCTGGGCTTTGCGTCAGATGGATGCCTCGGGTTCGGAGCGTCTCCTGCCGGGCCGCTCAGGAACGGGAGCCATGTTCGGTACTGAGGACCACGGTCCGGATGCTGAGCGCCCCGAGGCCAGTGGTGATCAGTTTTCTCCTCCCTCTTTCCCCTCTCGGTCCGATGGTGGTGGTGTCGGTGGTCAGATCGACTACGGCTCCGGGGAGGACGAGGACTTCTACGATGAGGACGCTGAGGAGGACGAGGAGCTGGACATCGAGGCCGTGCTCGCGGAGGTCGACGACATGGACCTGACGGAGGACCAGGTCGAGGACGCCATGGCGAGCCTCTCCAACACGAGGGCGTGGAAGCAGAACAAGGACCTCAAGCGGGCCGCCAAGCGGGACAGGGAGTACTTCGGCGGCCGCAGGGGAGGCGACGCTCCCCCGCCACCTCGTGGCCCCTCCAGCGGCCGCGGCGGCGCCCGAGGCCGCGGCGGCGGCCGAGGCGGAGGCGGTCGAGGGGCTGGCGGCGCTGGGAGAGGCCGACGACGGCCATGGCTTTCCCAGGAGCAGCTGATGAAGGTCACCAAGTGCAAGCTGTGCTTCCAGACCCAGACATGATGGCGTCGTAAAAAAATCAGGACGGGCGGTTTTTGGGTATTTTCGCCCTCTAGAGGTCCTCGCCGGGCCTCGGGACCGTCAAAAAACGACTCAGGACGAAAAACCGGTCCCGGGGAAAGGGTCGGGACTTGCGGGGACGCCGTCCTGAAAAAATCAGGACGTCGCATGTCTGGGGAAGGGACACTGGGGGCGAGAGTGCCCCAACCCGCCCAAGGACGGCAAGACGGGCGGTCCCGCTCGTGAGCGCCGAGGTCTCCCGGCCTGCATGCTCGAGGGCTTCGTCGGGGTCGGCTCCCTGTCTCTCCCGCCCTGGCGTGAGGCCGAGGAGGAGCTGACGACCGACGCGATCTACCTGGCGGCCAAGTCCATCCAGGGATTGGTAGATCCGGGGGCTGGCAGCTGACTACCTACCAGACCACCCCAACCCAAGCCAAAGACCCCAATTTCGGGTTGGGGGGGTACGGGTTCCATACGTGTTTTTTCTATGTTCCCCGACCCCCCCAACTGGAAATGGAGGGCACATTGAGGCCTTCGGGTTGGGTTGGGGTGGTTTGGTGGGTGGTGAGCAGCGACCTCGTGGGCCCAGACGCTCTCAACCGAGAGTCGGAGGCACTGGCCCAGCACGGGCTGCAGCACGCCGTGCCGTGCCCGAGGAGCGGCGGGTGCCGAAGAACGCCCAAGGCGTCGGAGGAGCGGCCGAGGTCATCAGCTCAGCTCTTTGTCCGCTGCGTCTCGGCGGAGCGTTCGGAGTGGTCGACGCTACGGCCTTGGCAGGCTCGGCGCCACACCTTTTGAGTGTGAATATTCTAGATTTCTTGGGATGCGTGGTTGGCCTCCCTCGGAATCAGCTAGTGTCGGCGACTCTCGATCAAGTGATCTTCATGACCAGGCTCGGATCCGGCAATCGGATGGCTGAAATCGTGAGGCCTCTGAACGAGCCATACGAGGTCCCGGCGTCTACCCTGCGCAAGTATCCTTTTCTCAGGCCCGACTCTTTCACGTTGAGGCACGGGGAGTCACCACTCAAGATGGACACGAGTGGCAAGGTTTCGAGGTACATGGCGCTCCTACTCCTCGTCCTCCTACTGTTTGCCATCTCCATGGGGCTTGAGGCGTTGAGGTCCAAGAAGGCGCAGAGGGCTCTAGGAGACTCCACGAGGCCACAGTCAAGTTCGGGATGGGCAAGGTCAACTCTCTGGAGAACTTGGACGACGAGATCTCGGATCAAGAAGACTCTTGGGTGCTTTGGGCTTTACGGGATCTACTGGGGCCTCATTGGGTTCGAGCTGATCTTGGGCGTCTTCAAGTCGCGGCCTCAGTGCGCCCGCTCCGGACCAGGATCAAGATGGCCAGCTAAGGCGACCAGTAACTACGACAAGGCCTGGCACCGTGCAAGGAAGACAGTCAACCCCGGAGCTCTCGAACCCTGCCCCGTTCTGTCCGTAGCCATCGGCTCGAGCCTCAGCTTCAGCTATCTGAGACTACCGTTCCAGAGTCGACCCCGACTCGTTCGAATCCATAGGAGAGATGATGCTTGCCGTGCGGCTGGCAGCGGCGACGAGTCTTCTGCTCCCCAGGGCCTCGCAGGCAGGGAAGAAGAAGGAGGAACCCATCGCCAAGAAGGCGACCGACGAGCCCGACTCAGGTGCGAGCTCTCAGTCCGAGACGCCTCAGCTGCAGGCCCAGGGGATGATCGTAGGATTGAAAGATTGCAAAAAACCCTTCGAACGAAGGATTGCAAAAAAACCCTCGTTTGAACAAAGGGTTGTTTTGCAATCCTTCGAACGAAGGATTGCAATCCTTCGTTGCAATCCTTCGTTTTTTTGCAATCCTTCGCTTTTTTGCAATCCTTCGTGCGAGCTCTCGGTCCGAGACGCCTCAGCTGCAGGCCCCGGGGATGATCGTGCAGGATCCTCCGGCGGGGGCGGCCGCAGCGACGCAGCTCGCACCAGCACAGCTACAGTGAAGGGGCCCCAGGACACACAACTGAAATCACACACATAAACATATTCCCCATATTTTCCCATCTTTTCTGGGTTTCTGTCTTCCCCCCCACTTCCCATATTTTCCCATATTTTCTGGGGAATCGCCGATTAATTGTGTCTGTGTGTTTTTTCCCTCCTGATACAGGCGGTGCAGGGCATGACGCCCGAGCAGATCCAGCAGCTAGCAGCGCTGACAGCTGGACAGATCAGCGGCAACCCCATGCCGAGCACGGAGACAGTCGACGCGGTGATGGAGGCCCCCCGGCCTCCGGAGGCATCGCCAGGAGCGTCCGGGCGCCAGGGTTCGGCACCAGGGGGCGAACAGCACAGGGATCGGCTCCACGGATGGTCGAGCGACCTCCTCTGCCGCCGGGACCGCCGCCTGGCTGGCAGCCCCCAGCCCCACAGCTGGGACCAGCCATGGCGACCGTGCCGCTGACGCTCGAGCAGCAGCACGCGGCCGCGGCGATGGCAGCGGCAGCGGCGGTGATCCCAGTGCCCCCGGGACCCGTGGCGGGGCCATCGGCCCAGGTCGTGGCAGCCAGGGCCGGGGAGCTTCGAGCAGCGGCCAGGGCGGCTGCGGCCGCGACGAGGGCGGCTCCCGCAGCACCGATCGTTCCGGGCCAGCCTCCGGTGAAGGCTCCTCCTTCGACCGCTCCCACGGCCTCCACGCTGCACGGGCCGGCGGCACCTGGCAAGCCGCCACCCGTCCATCCGAACGACTGACAGCACCCGCAGCACGCGATCAAGTACTACGGGAACCAGCACGGCGGAGGTTCCAAGTGCAACATCTGCGGGGAGCGCCTGACCTGGGTGCCGCGGGGCCAGGCGGGAGGTGGTGTTCCGTCCGCTCCCTCGGCAGCGGAGGCTGCGCGTGCCGCGGCCAGCAGTGCTCAGAAGGCAGTCGACATCCCTCA